GTGTGTGTGTGTGTATTACAGATAGTGTGTGCGTGAGTGAGTAAGAATGCGAGTGAGCGAGTGAGAGCGAGTGAGCAGTGTTGCTCGCGGCGATGTTATGACGGGCTAAAAGAAATAAACTCGCTATGCTCTTTTTTTCTCGCGGATTCGGCTAGCGCGACTGATCAGCTGTTGTGTATCTAATTTTAGACGATCGGTTCGGCAGTCTAGTGCCCGTAACGCGTGGATATTCGTGCGCTTATCGCGTATTCGTAATGACGCGGGCGATGACCAGCGGCCGAGAACGCTCGGCAGAGGTGGAGAACCCTCCACCCCGGGCGAATGCTGGTCACTCGCAGTACGAAATGCAGGAGGTCGGCGCGGGCCAACGGTCGAGTACGCTCGACGGAGGTAGAGTACTCTCTGCCCCGGGCGTTGGTCGTTGCGCGCTGCACCGAGACGGCTGCCGAGAACGCTCGGCAGAAACAGAGTACACTCTGCCCCTCTGTTCTTGCCGTTCGGTGCAATAGGACGCCTGTATTGAGACCTGCCGAGAACGCTCGGCGGAGCTGGAGAACTCTCCGGCCCGGTTTTCTCGGTATCGTTTAGGCTCTAGGAAGTCGGATTCGTTATCAGGATCTGGTCGGGACAGGAATCTCCTGTTTCTCCGTAACACGGCATTTTTATATGATCGAGAATGCCGCGTTCGTGAGTTTTCGATCTCGCTCGCGTTTTCCCGCTGGCTGTGTTTCGCGGTGCGCGGGACTAAGTCCCAAGAAATGGGAGTCCGCGGCGATCGATCTATTTCGGTCTCGCTCGGCGGTGCTCGGTGTAACGCGGCTGTTACTGCCGCTTGTACCTGCGAATTATGCTTTCAGTTTTATCGGGCGCTATGCGCCCTCATCACTGCATTGCATAGCAATGCAGCGGCGTTCGGCTGGGTGGTGTGTGCCGGAACGATGGGGGATGCATCGTTACAAATTAATCTTAAATTCTACCTTTTTTATATTTAATGATAAGATATACAAACAAATCTTTGGAGTTCCTATGGGTTCTCCATTATCTCCTATCATAGCTGATATAGTACTTCAAGATCTTGAATATAAATGTTTAAATAATCTCACAACACAACCATCATTTTACATACGATACGTCGATGACATTGCATTAGCCACTAACGAGATTAATATAAATTATATTTTGAATGAATTCAATAATTTTTATCCTAAACTGAAATTTACTCTTGAAATATGTCACAACAAATTGAATTTTTTGGATATCACGATAATAAAAAATAACAATCATATAATTTACGACTGGTATCAGAAACCTACATCCTCAGGTAGATATCTAAATTTCTTTTCGCAACATCATCATTCACATAAAATTGGAATGATTATTAGTCTGACAGAGTTCTACATTTATCACACCCAAACTTTCATCAAGTAAACTTTGACAAAATTATTAAAATATTATTGAATAACGGTTACCCACTAGATATCATTTTCAACACCATCAACAAAAGAATACATAAGAAACTAAACTCACACAACTGTATCACATCTATTAATAATAACGTAGCTAAAATTAATTATCAGGAGACGCGGTAGCGGCCACGTTCAAACCTGAAAGACGCTACAAGTCTCTTATCCCGAGCCATCAAAGTCCATTTTTGAGAGGTGCATAACTACTAAAATATAAAAAATTTTGAATCAAACGTTATATGTTCTAAAAGGCGGCATCACCACGAGTAATTTGAGCCAAAAAAATTTTAAATAGGTCAAGCCGTTCTGGAGAAATAAGCGGTCAAAGAGTGGTGATTTTGATGAAAAATTAAGAAACGTCTCCTCCTTCTTCTCTGTCCGCATTCAAAATTTTTCAAGCCGCCATTTAAACTTTTTAACATCCTTCCACCACCCACCCCCATCGCCCCTCTCTTTCGCCGTAATTCCCACTTTCTCGTTATTACAATTATTTAACATTCTCTCTCACCTTTCACTCACTCCTTTACCATCTTCGACCTACCGGACCTCCTCCACCCGCCCTTCCCCCTCCTCCACCACCCACCCCCACGGCCCCTCTCTTTCGCCGCATTTCAAACTTTTTCGTTATTACAACTTTTTAACATCGTCTCTCACCTTTCATTCGCACCTCCACCATCTGGAGATCCATTGCTAGGAAGAAAATGGATCAATCAATTAAAAACGTTGGAAAAAATTAAAAATAGTTTAACAGAAATAGAAGACGTGCATGCTTTAGACGCATCCGAGCAGGAACGATTGGCAAAATTATTGGAAAAATATAAAAATGTATTAAGTGAGGAGTTTGTGCATATTAAAAATTGTCAAGCCCATTTAAAATTAAAGCCAAATGTAAAGCCGGTTTTTATTAAAAATCGCACAGTTCCTTTCAAGATTTTAGAAAAAGTTGAAAAAGAGTTAGAAAATATGTTACAAGCTGGAATTTTAGAAAAAGTAGAATCATCAAATTGGGCAACGCCGATCGTTCGTGTTTTAAAAAAAAATGGCGGGGTTAGAATTTGCGGAGATTTCAGTGTAACAGTCAACCCGTTTTTAATTATAGATGAACATCCGTTGCCAACAACGGAAGAACTGTTTGCATCAATGTCGGGTGGCACGATATTTTCTAAAATTGATCTTGTAACGATGCCCCCTAAAAATAGGCATCGTACCCGGCACGAACATCTAGCCGGTTGCCGTCGCACTGACCAGTGGTCATTAGCGACGATGAGGGCGCGGTGCGCCCGAGTATATTTTTAATTTAAAACCAAACATAATTCGCAGGTACAGCAGCCGCCGCGATAACCGCCAGTCTCGCCGGAAAGGGCCGACCGTCGTCGGGGACCGCCGATCGGAAATCTTCTCCCACGAGAAGCCGATCGGCGGAAAATACCGCGACCGACCGAACCATTACGAGCGGGACTGGCGGCCTGGTATAAGATACCGCGATAACGAGCCGCGCGTGGCATTTTTGTCTCCGCCGTTTCCTAAAATATCCGATCCGCTCACCAGATCCTAAGATCTCGATACCGTTCCAGTGACTCGCTCGTCGACGAACCTGAGGAGTAGGGTGTACCCTGCCTCTGCCGGGCGCTCCCGGTCGCCGAACGAGCCGTTCAGAGTACGCATTTTGAGCGCGCGAGCTAATTAACGCGCCCGTCCGACGAACCTGAGGGGTGGGGTGTACCCCGCCTCTGCCGGACGTTCCCGGCCGCCGGACAGTCGTTATTAGCAATCACTCCCACCTTTCCGTACCTTCTTTTCCGCATCCCGAAATTCCCGTCCTGGTACTTGACATTAGAAAAGGGGTAGGGCGCTCCCTGCCTCTGTCGGGCGTTCCCGGCCGTCAAGTATCAACTCCGCTCCTTCTCCGATTAGTATTATCAAATTACGTATCGCGCCGCGAAACCACGCTTGCTGGCGTATACCCGCGTTCTATTCCGCCGCGTTGCAAACCGCCGCCGAGAAAACTCGTGACCGCCTGTAAATATTCCGCGCCGTTTAGATTTAAGTTCGTTTTCCTCGACCGTATATATATATATATATATTTTCCGTTATCCACGCTCGTTTATATAGATGTACAGATTTTGTTGTGTCATCCGCGCTCGTTTATTTCTTCGCTTGTATCGTCGTCAGTCACGTCCGCTCACTGTAAATTCGATTTCCATATGTTATATCTTTTTCTTATTATTATAATATTTTCATTATCTCATTGTCATATATCTTTCTCTTATTATTATATTTTCATTATCTCATTGTCATAATAAACTATGTTTGTCGTTCAATTATTACTGTCGTATTAGTTCTTTTTCTTTTTGCGACTTCCGAAACTTCAGATATCTTTCCGCCGTACCGCTCCGACGCGAATACTCCTCCCGCCGAACCTTTTTTATACGACACGCATTTCCGGCGAGCTAGTCCGAGTATAAAAATCAGGTAGTTACAATCTTAAGCAAGCATACTTGCAATTACCGGTCGCGAAAGCGGATAGAGAGATATTAACTTTAAGTACGCACAAAGGATTATTTAGATGTAACCGTTTAATGTACGGAGTGGCATCTGCGTCTGCGATATGGCAAAGAACGATTGAAAATATACTGGGTGGAATACCAGGGGTTGCAGTATTTTTAGACGATATTAGAATTGCAGGAAATGATATTGAACAACATTTTGAGCGATTAGAAAGAGTCTTTAAAAGATTGTCAGAATATAATATACGCATAAATGTGGAAAAATGTGCCTTTCTTAAAGAACAGATATCCTATTGTGGATATGTAATAAGTAAAAAAGGAATTTCAAAGGAACCTAAAAAAATGGAAGCAGTCCAAAAAATGCCAAGGCCAAATAACATTACGCAACTTAGAGCTTTTATTGGGTTAGTAAATTATTATATGGACGCTTCATTGAACATTTGAGTGATAAACTTTACCCGTTAAATAACCTGTTAAAGAAAAATGTAACATTTAAATGGTCGAAAGAATGCGAAAGAGCATTTAACAAAATTAAACTAGAATTTGGAAACGAAAAAGTATTAGTACCATTTAATCCCAAATTGCCTTTAATACTCGCGGTAGATGCCAGTCCGTACGGGGTAGGAGCTGTCCTTTCACACAGGTACCCGGACGGTACAGAACGCGTAATTCAATACGCATCAAATACTTTAACTGAAACGCAGAAAAAGTATGCGCAGATAGATAAAGAAGCGTTTGCGATTGTATTCGGTATAAAAAATTTCATCAATTCTTGTATGGAAATCGTTTTGTATTATTGACTGATAGCCGTTATCACAAATATTAAACCCGCAAAAGGGCCTTCCGGCATATAGCGCGCTACGTATGCAGCATTATGCCGTGTTTTTACAAGCATTCAACTTTGAGATTAAATATCGTAAATCAATAGAGCATGCTAATGCAGATGGCTTGTCACGATTGCCCATACAAGAAAGAAGTAACGGTAATTTTGATGTAATTGATATATTTCAAATTGAAAACGTGGAGGCACTACCGGTAACTGCGAAAAGTATTAGAGAAGGAACGGATAAAGATGCGTTATTATTAAAAATGCGACAAGCTTTAATTAAAGGGAAAAGTTTGATTCCGTTAGGTTATAATGATGGCGAGTTCGCGTTACAGGATGGTATAATTTTTAGAAAAGAAAGAGTAGTCATTCCGAAAAATCTAAGAACTAGAATATTAAAAGAATTGCACGCAGGGCATTTTGGCACAGTTAAAATGAAACAATTGAGTAGAAACTTTGGCTGGTGGCCTAAAATAGATAAGGACATCGAGGACATAACTAAAAATTGTAGAGCGTGTGTTACGTTTTGTAATAACCCAAGAAACAAGGCTAAACATTCATGGGAAGCGGCGTCAGAACCGTTTGAGCGCGTACACATTGATTTTGCAGGTCCATTTATGGGACATACGTTTCTAGTGTTAGTAGATGCTTATACAAAATGGCCTGAAGTGTATATTGTAAGAAACATGTCCGTACAAAATATTATTGAAAAATGTAGAGAGATTTTTGGATTACCACAGAGATTAGTGTCGGACAATGGTCGCACTTTTATAGCAGAGGAATTTGAAAGTTTTCTTAAAAATAACGGGATTTATCATAAGCGCACAGCGCCTTATCACCCAGCCACAAATGGCCTTGCGGAACGTTTTGTGCAAACCTTGAAACAGGCGTTCCGAAAATTAAATACTAGCGACGGCAACATTAAGTCTAACCTGCAGAAATTTTTATTTCATTATAGATTAACGCCTCATTCAGAATTAAATAAATCTCCGGCAGAAGCCATGTTCAATAGAAAATTAAAAAGCAGATTGGACTTAATATTTCCGAAAATTAATAAGGAAATAGAAATTGAAAATACCATAGGAGTAAGAAATTTTAAAGAGGGCAAAAGAGTCGCGGTTCGTGAATATTTAAACAAAAATGTTAAATGGCGTTTTGGAAGCGTAATAGCGAAGTTAGGCAAAGCACATTATACAGTTAAATTGGACGACGGAAGAATTTGGAAGCGACATTGCGATCAAATGAGGAAAATAGGAGAACAAATTAATACTCCGATTAATGATGGGAGTAATTTCGGCGAGGCTGACCACTACGGTCCAGTTGAAGTAACGCAGAATCATGTAACTGCGAACGGTAGAGATCAAGCAAATATTATACACCCAAACTTCGACCCTATCAGCTCGAGATGCTATCCTGAAAATTCCGAGACATTTGAATTCGAGGAAGGGAAAGCCGTAAGAGCCGATGTTCCACACGCTAACACACAAAATAAAGTAAGTTTAGAACAGCGTGCGAATGCGAATAAAGAGGGTCAACCTCAACGCAGCAGAAAACCACCGGATACATATGGTAGTTACTTATCGCCAATCTAATCAAACGAGAGCAGTCAAATTTATAAGGGGGGAAGAGCTGATGTGTATCATGTATATTAGCGCCATGGGGATCTATCTCACGGCGCTCCCGAATATTAGGTTGCGAGTTCTTATCATCGGTCCTATTGTATGATTTCGCCGAGTCACGCGTTCCCCCGCTGCTGCGGGATCTGAGGATGGAGAGAGCGGCGAGAAGGGAGTTTCGGGTACTCACTCCGAGAGCTCACTCCGAGAGCTCACTCCGAGAGCTCACTCCGAGACGTTACTCCAAAACAGTCGGATTAAAACTACTTTTATACTCCGAATATTAAGACTAGTTATTGCATATCATCCTCTTCTTGATTTCCTACATCCTGGCCCCGTAAGATATCCCGAAAATACAACAGATACAAATAAACAGAAAATACAAAAACTTGAAGAAATAATTAAAAAGAATGAAGAAAAAATAAAGGAACTTCATGATGTTAATGAGGTTATCAATAGGAAATTGAATTCTGCAATAAGTAAAATAGCTGTAAGTCGAAAAAATGAAGATTTAATAATCTACAAAAGATACAAATAAATCAACATCCCATGAAACTACAAAAGATACAAATAAACAGAAAATACAAGAACTTGAAGAAATAATTAAAAAGCATGAAGAAGAAATAAAGGAACTTCATGATGATAAAGAGATTATGAATAAGAAATTGAATTCTGCAATAAATAAAATAGCTGTAAGCCGAAAAAATGAAGATCTAATAAACTACAAAAGATACGAATAAATCAACATCCCAAGAAACTACAAAAGATACAAATAAACAGAAAATACAAGGACTTGAAGAAATAATTAAAAAGCATGAAGAAGAAATAAAGGAACTTCATGGTGATAAAGAGATTATGAATAAGAAATTGAATTCTGCAATAAATAAAATAGCTGTAAGTCGAAAAAATGAAGATTTAATAAACTACAAAAGATACAAATAAACAGAAAATACAAGAACTTGAAGAAATAATTAAAAAGCATGAAGAAGAAATAAAGGAACTTCATGATGATAAAGAGATTATGAATAAGAAATTGAATTCAGCAATAAATAAAATAGCTGTAAGTCGAAAAAATGAAGATTTAATAAACTACAAAAGATACAAATAAATCAACATCTCAAGAAACTACAAAAGATACAAATAAACAGAAAATACAAGAACTTGAAGAAATAATTAAAAAGCATGAAGAAGAAATAAAGGAACTTCATGATGATAAAGAGATTATGAATAAGAAATTGAATTCAGCAATAAATAAAATAGCTGTAAGTCGAAAAAATGAAGATTTAATAAACTACAAAAGATACAAATAAATCAACATCTCAAGAAACTACAAAAGATACAAATAAACAGAAAATACAAGAACTTGAAGATATAATTAAAAATCATGAAGAAGAAATAAAGGATCTTCATGATGATAAAGAGTTTATGAATAAGAAATTGAATTCTACAATTAATAAAATAGCTGTAAGTCGAAAAAATGAAGATTTAATAAACTACAAAAGATACAAATAAACAGAAAATACAAGAACTTGAAGAAATAATTAAAAAGCATGAAGAAGAAATAAAGGGACTTCATGATGATAAAGAGATTATGAATAAGAAATTAAATTCTGCAATAAATAAAATAGCTGTAAGTCGAAAAAATGAAGATTTAATAAACTACAAAAGATACAAATAAATCAACATCCCAAGAAACTACAAAAAATCACTATTTACTTACGTTTATATATTTATTGAAATTCAATATCCGCTTTTTTATCCACACTCGACTTGTTATTATTGTCTTTCTATAATCTTCTGTAGAAAGGGATTATCTCCATTTATCCTGCACTAAACTAACCCCAGCTGCTTTACTTGATTATTCTTTCTTTTCAATGTCTTAAAATTCAGTATAATGACATATGTTCTTCTCATCGTATTTATGTTAAAATATTTTTATAACATTAAGTATGAAGTTAACTCATAAAAATTATATAAAAAAAACACTTTAAATTCTTCAAAATTCATCTATTTTTGGCAATCCTTTCTGAAAAAGGAGATGTTATGTCGATAACTCGCATCTCTCGAAGTTTATTGTTGCCGCTTTTCCGCGTTGCTGATTGGT